GAGGTGGGGGTCGGCCTCTTCTCCTTGGTAACAGATGATAGGACGAGGGGGAATGGTTTGAAGCTGCGCCAGGGCAGGTTTAGGTTAGATATTAGGAAAAACTTCTTCACTGAAAGGGTTGTTAGGCTCTGGAATGGGCTGCCCAGGGAGGTGGTCGAGTCCCCATCCCTGGAGGTATTTAAAAGAAGGATAGATGAGGTGCTTGGGGACAGGGTTTAGTGGTCGGGTGGCAGGGTTAGGTTAAAGGTTGGACTCGATGATCTCAAAGGTCTTTTCCAACCAAAGCGATTCTATGATTCTATGATTCTATATTTTTATTTTGAGCTTTTACCTGCTTACTGCGGGTTTACAAATTACACAGGGCACTAGAGTGGCAAACCCATACATGGCTATTAGAAAATGTATAACTAAAGCCCATAAACCCATAGCTGTTATGTTGGAAATTTTAATCTAGCCTGAGTTGTAAGCTACCCCTTATTCAGAATCTAATTACCTCTTCTTTTACTCTTAAGAAGAGCAGTTTTTGAAGCTGAACTATCCGACTGCCTTACCCATTAACTCAAATGACAGAAGCATCACTGTATTAACGAATTTGTTCTTGCAGGATTCCTTGCAAAATATCAACATCTTCCTTTCATATCAAGGAGCATTTATGTGAACCTACCTGAAACTTTCAGGTTTCACACGTTTGTAATGACAAGCACAGGCATGACAAGCCGATTGGCATTTTTGTCAGCCCTGCCACCTACCTATTAAATAAAACGGCTAAAGAATTTATTACGGATTCCACTCTGATAATCAGATTTTGGAAGATGTTGATCATACTCTTTCATAGAAACATAGAATCATAGAATCGTTTAGGTTGGCAAAGACCTTTAAGATCATCAAGCCCACCCGTTCCCCTACCCCTGCCATCCCACCACTAAACCCTGGCCCTAAGCACCGCGTCTGCCCAGCTTTTAAATCCCCCCAGGGGTGGGGACTCAACCCCTTCCCTGGGCAGCGCAGGAGTGTCAGTCTGGGCTCAAGCCCATGACATTTCAAAATGAAGAAACTGGTTATGAGAAGTATTTGAAAGGCCATGATCACAACCCCCTTTTTTAGTCTAATTTCTTTTACAAATTCATGTTGGAGCAGGTTCTCTATCCTCAAAACCCCCACGACTTCCCTCACCTGTATAGATGTGTTCCTCTGATTAACTATCACGTAATTAATTACAATAGACTCAGAACTCTATATGTGCGTGACCACATACTATATCCATATATGCTATGAGTATTGCACAAGCTTCACTGCAATAAGCACTATTACTAATTATAGTAAAGCAAAAGAGAATCTGAAAGAAACGTCCTTCCAGAAAGCATCTGCTATTATTTGCTCAAAAAAAAAAAAAAAAAAAAAAAAAAAATGCACTATTCCCCATAAAATGTGAAGCATAGCTCACTCCTGTGACATGCTTTCAGCAAAAACTGATTACAGCACGTTTCAGTAGAAATCTGGCTTCATAATTTGGACACACAGAATGACATTTGTTTATTCATTTTATGCTTTGCTTACACCAGCCTTTGAATGTTACCTTTGAGTCAATACAAGAGCTGTCCCTTCACCAATTTTGTGCAATAGAAACACTTTTTTTTTCCTAGTAATTTAATTTTGTTCATCTAAAATTAGTTTCCATTATAAAATGGTAAGAGAAAAATATTTACACTGTCAATCCTCAGAAATAAAATTACCCTTTTTCACCTGAAAAAAAAAAAAAAAAATCAAATTTAAGGCTCATAAGTAGATTTTTGCTAAAAATAACCAGGCTTCGTGGAAACAGGATTCATAATAACATCTGATAACGGCAGAGATTACAAACCACCTTGCCATACACTGCCCTTGTAAATCTAGGGTGCAAACTGTGTAAGTAAATACACCCACTTCCAAACCAACATTGGACATTTGTGTTTTGAATAGCAAAGTACACTGCTGTAACAGAAGGGAGAAATCTCAGATGTGAGAACAACATTTTTGATCGCCTATGTAAGACCTTGAACCTGAATTTTAATCATAATGTTTAAAAAAATCTTGCTTATAATATATTAAAGTGTTAGTCTCGCTAGCAAAGGATTACCTGATTTACAGCTGCATGGATTATTTTAGCGGGGAAACCAAATTAAAAGCATGTTCGAGAGAGACAATGCTTACACCGCTCGTAATCAGGGCCAAATGCTGGCAATTACGAGAGCTGCGTTCTGCGCGGCAGAGCAGAGCCCACTCAAATCTGTGCAGAAAACTCAGCCTTTTTCATGAGGAAAACTGTTTTCAAACTATTTCGCTTATCTGCACAGTTTGCAAGCTGAAGGGTTCTCGCTGTTTTCCCAGAACATACTATTGGTGTGCAGTTACACTGTCAAAAAGACAAAAAAAAAAAAAAAAAAAAAGAAAATACTTTTTGGACAGTTATTAAAAAGAAGTAACTGCATCGTCTCTGCTAAATTCCCACATGCACTCTGCAGGCTTTAAATATTCTGTATATGGGTTTCTGCAAAATTTTATTTCGTTTCAGAGGTTTTCTCTTATTTGTTTATGCAATAAAAGAAAAGAAGTCCAATAACTAGCAAAAAAAAAAAACCAAAAAAATTCATTTCCCAGTTTCAACTGCAAAGTCTGTTAATACTCGTGTATAAAACCACCGGTGTTGGCAGCCAAAGTGAATACAAATCCACACCAATCTGGCAATCTTTAATTCCTCTTGATTCTATTTCTCCTCTTTGACGACTGGTTAGACACTTGTACCGTTGTCTCATTCCGAATTAAAGATTCAGCCTTTAGATACATCCAGAAGTCGTGCAGAGAGGGGGGAAAAAAAAAATTAGAACAACCGTAATACCTAAACTCTGCCACAAGAGAGCGATACTTTACAAGTTGTGAGTTAGCAAACCATCTGGGTAACGGGCAAGGTGAGTTCAGTAAATCCATCTGAGCAGTGCGAAGAGCTGCTTAACAGCAGTACCAGTCCAGACACTCAGGATACCTGATAATTTTTACATTAAGTCTCTGAAAATTAATTTCTGCAAAATTAGAAAATGAATAAGACTCATGTAGGAATGTGTCATCTCCTACTTCTTGTTCAGCACTTCAAGAAAAAAACCAGTGAAATAGAGAAATGTGAGCAGTGACACCCATTACTGCTATGTTCCCTGTTTTTCTACGCACCAAACATGCAAAAAGAATACGAAATAGTACAAATGCATACAATTTTCAGGTGTGATAGAAGCCTCATGACATCAGCCATATCAGCCAGGATGAGCAAGCGAGTGACAGCAGAAAGCAAGGCACGCGCAGCCCGCACCATGGTGCCCCGTTTCACGGAGGAGCATGGGTCGTCAGCAAACTCCGAAGAGGCGATTCTCATCGTTTCTCCTAGAATTGAAAAAAAAAAATGTAATTAAAGATAGGTTTTACACTTGTACTTTTTTTTTTTTTCCCCAGACAGTAGAAACGAGTCACTAAATAAACTACCCACTGTTAGGAAAAATATAATGGCTTAAGTTACTGAATGTTGAATTGCTCAGGAAAAATATTTTTTTTAAAAATACGTGCAGCAACTGCCTCGATAATCTCTGCCTTTTTTTCTTTATTCCCAAACTGTTGTTCTTTTAGAGCAGTCACCTGTAAAAATTAAAAAGGAAACCAAAACACCAAGACAGACTGCTGAGTGCAACCAGCACAACGTAAGAAAACCAGCAGTGTGTGGTAGAGCAATACCGAACTCACCTGTACTGGTAGGGAGGAAGGGGCAGAGCACCCCAACAGTATCATCCCCATTACAGCTCTCTACAATTCTGCCTCCAAACTACACTTTCCCTTGACTCCCACTACCCAGTCCTCGCCTTCTTGCTCAGATAATTACTCTGCTTTCCTCCAGCTAGAAGAGTTATCACTCCTACTAGAGGGGTGTTTTTTATTATTTTTTTTCTCAATCATAGAAGCATGGAATCACTTAGGTTGGAAAAGACCTTTAAGACCTTTAGAGTCCAACCGTTCCCCTACCCTTGCCATCCCACCCCCAAACCCTGGCCCTCAGCACCTCATCTGCCCGGCTGTTAAATCCCCCCAGGGCTGGGGACCTGACCCCTTCCCTGGGCAGCCCCTTCCAGTGCCTGACAGCCCCAAGGGGAAGGAATTGTTCCTGATGCCCAACCTCACCCTGCCCTGGCACAACTTGAGGCCGGTGCCCCTCGTCCCATCGCCCCTTCCCTGGGAGCAGAGCCCGACCCCCCC